TGGACCGATTTGATAATACCTCCAAAAATGGAGTTTTTTATGAATAGAAATAGTTTCTTAAAGGTGTTTCTTGAAAAAATCCCCTCAAATGACAAAGCGGTTTAAGCTTAAAAAATGTACATAAAAATATTTAAAAAAAATTTTAACGGAATCGTAATAATGAAATTTTTGATGCTGTTTTTTAACTTTTTTCAAAGATAGGTATAAGAAAAGCTTGAATAACTGAACTTAAACACTTCCGATTTAGACTTTTGAGGCATCATTGGAAAGGTATATTCTAACCCTTTTTATTTCTTTGCTAATAAGCACATTCAAAGGATGAAAGAGAAAGGTAGGATGAACGAACATCATTCAAAGTTGAACCTTGATGTGTTGGTATTTGTAAAAAAAAAAAAATGGGACACGAATGACTTTTTTGAACACAAATAAAAATAGTGGGAAAATAACTTTCTACCGAGATCCCATAAGTCTAAATCAGAATAGTTTTGGCCCAGTTATTTAAGTTTTTCGTAAATCAATATTTAAAGAGTAAAAAAACAGCATCAAAAATCTCATTATTACGATTCCGTTGAAAAGCTTTTTAAATATTTTTATGCAGATTTTTTAAGCCTAATCTCTTTTGTCATCTGAGGGGACTTTTTTCAAAAAGTTCTTTAAGAAACTATTTTTATTCATAAAAAAACTCCATTTTTGAATGTATTTTCAAATCGGTCCAGCTCGCTTAAATCTTAATATTTTTCCGAAACATTTTGGTGGACGTCTTAAAATATAATAAATTCTTTAATCCTGGCGGAAAACTCGCAACTTTTTTTTGGTGAATGTATATTCATACATTAGACTGCATCATCAAAAAAAAGTTGCGGGTTTTCCGCCGGAATCACAAAATTTATAATATTTTAAGACGTTCACCTAAATATTAGGGAAAAATATTAAGATTTAAGTGAGCTGGACCGATTTGAAAATACCTCCCAAAATGGAGCTTTTTATGAATGAAAATAGTTTCTTAAAGAACTTTTTGAAAAAAGTCCCCTCAGATGACAAATTAGATTAAGCTTAAAAAATCTGCATAAAAATATTTGAAAATCTTTTCAACAGAATCGTAAGAATGAGATTTTTGAAGCGGTTGTTTACTTCTTTTAAAGATTGGTTTACGAAAAACTTGAATAACTGTTTCAAAAATTGTCTGATTTAGACATATGGGATCTCAGTAGAAAGGTATTTTCACACTGTTTTTATTTCTGGCCAAAAAAATGTCATTCGTGTCCCATTTTATTTTTTCGAATACCAACACATCTTAATTCAACTTTGAATGACATTCGTTCATCCTACCTTTCTCTTCCATCCTTTGAATGAGTTTATTAGCAAAGAAATAAAAAGGGTGAGAAAATACCTTACCAATGACATCTCTCATGTCTAAATCGGAAGAGTTTAGGTTCAGTTATTCAAGTTTATCCTATACTAATCTTTGAAAAAAGTTAAAAAACAGCATCAAAAATCTCATCATACGATTCCGTTAATTTCTTTTTTTTTTAATTTGTTTTAATATTTTAAGCTTAAACCGTTTTGTCATTTGATGGGATTTTTTAAAAAAAAAATCTTTAAGAAACTATTTTTATTCATAAAAAACTCCATTTTTGGAGGTATTTAGAAATTGGTCCAGCTCACTTAAATCTTATTTTTTCAAAATATTTTTGTGGACGTCTTAAAATATAATAGATTTTATAATTACAATGGAAAAATAGTACCGATTTTTTTTTTGTATTGGGAGTGATGCAGTCTAATATACATATGTATTTGTATAAATGTCTATGTCTCTTATTGAGTCTCCATAAACGCCGAATCGTTTGCATTGCACATATGAATATGCGCAACTAAGTAAACCGCAAATGTATTTTTATTTTAAATATTTTGTGTTCAAGAACTTCGCATTTTCAAAACAAAACAATTATGTAGGCACATATGTATCTATATCTTAATTGTTCAAGTATATACCTACATATTGGATGTAAATATATATGTATGTACATACTTACATATACATAAATATATGTATTCTTGTGTGTAAATTCAAAAACACATTTCGTATATGCATGTCATACATGCGTTTCTAAAGTCCACATGTGGGCTTTACACAAATATTCCGAATGAATAAAACTACTACTATACATACATATTTGGAAAATGTTAACAAGACTTACAACATTTATATGTGTACGTCTGTATTGTGTCTATATGAACTTATGTATCTATTTGCATAATTATGTATGTTTATATGACGGAATTTTTTTTGTTTGCAATTCCTTGAAGCAAATTTTCAAATTTAAGGCCTGTATGCAGCTCTCAAGAAAAGCAAAAACTCCATATAAAATGACGTACAAGAAATGGCTAAGAAATTTTCTTGAGTCAAATTTCCTTAAGGCAGTACGCAGTTCTTAAGAAATTTACTACGCTTTCTACTACGGTTTTCTAAAGTTTTTTTGTGAAAAAAGAGCACAAGGCAACCCAGGTTTGCAACAGAAATATATGCCCGTTCCATTATTTCTTGAGGAAAGAGTGAGGCAACAGGCTGTGAAGTATCAAAAATGTCAAAATTCCTTGGACACACACACGAAATAATGGCAATTTTTTCTTCACCGTTTTCTTGAGAGCTGCATACAGGGCTTTATGAGCCATTCATTGTTTTCGTTTTAAGCAACATGAAGAAAAGATGGTTGCCATATCCATTAATCTCATCTACATATATGTATGTACAATATATAATTTAACTATATGTTTTTATACTGCACTCAACTTGACAAACGGCAATTTTCAATGTTATCGAAAAAACATGAATCGCATGTTGTGCCATGAAATCCTCATGTATGTAGTACATATTTATCCTTAGTGTACACCGCGTGGCAGGACGTCATGTCTCAGGAAAAATCAAGCATCTAATATAAGATGGGGGTTGGTGGCCCATAGTACCTAACGCAGAATTACAAAGAAGAAATTTATCCATAGAATTCCAAATCTCCCAAAAAAAATGTCCATTAGGAAGTCTCAAAGCATAAAGAAGTTAGGAATTTTTGAAAATACACTTAAAACGAAATGAAAATAAGCTACCATTGAAAAATAAAACTGTCAGTTTCAGTTACTTTTTGATTGTACATGTCCACTTAATAGTATAATCTCGGTTAGTTATTTTATTTTAGCTGTTATAAATTTTGATGGAGGGCAAAGGTTATAGTCTATAAAAAAGTAACAGTTGTAGTAGTTATACTTTCCGGCAGTATCTTAAAGCTTAAACAGACGGCAGCGTTGATCCGGACTTAATCCGGATCAACTGCAGTTAATTCCCGAGTTGATCCGGATCAACGCTGCCGTCTATTTATGTTTTTACTCAACAACTAAGTATTCGAATTGGCCTATCAACCATTTCGCTATCGCGGTCGTCGTTTAAATCTGTTTAATTAAAAAATGAGAGCATAAAGAAAAGTTGATTCCGACTTGCATTTTTAACAACTAGAAGTTTTTTATAATCTTCATTCGTAGAACATATGTACATACATACATAGATACATGCTTACTCAGATTCCATTTGCTTTAGTTATGTCATGTTCGCAAACATTTTGCATTTCTACAGGGTGTGCATCTATTTTCACATATCTACAAACACATTTATGTACATAAGTAAGTAAACAAACAATAATAACGCTATAAAAATTCCTTCTAAATTCCTTAGTCGTTGCCATAAGCAACAAGTATCAGACTATCCCTTAGCTGTTTACAAGCCCCATCTCTTGCATACGCCAACGAAGTCAACTTGGTTCTTAAGAAGTCACGAAAACACGTAGATAGAGTATAAGTATGTACATATAAAAAGATAATGAACAACGATAACATCTCGTCATACTCGTACTATGTATTTGCGTAATCATATATCTCTTTATTTTAAACTTGATATATAAGCATTTCAAAGTGCTGGTGATTTTGCACAACGTACACGCATGTTTATTTTGTATGTAGCTAGGGAAATACAGCGCTGACCATTTATCAGTCAGGAGTCTGATTATATATATATATGTATGTATGTAGTATGTACATCTTCTTTTCACATCGTTACATCATGGTACATAAATGCATTTGTTTTTATGTACGAATTTATAAAGTTATGTATTTAAGTACGTATGTACGTATATACATATGTGCATATTGTATTTGTTAACATATCCCTTCGCCATGAATGCACATAAAGGCATCTGATTTAATCTGATTTTTTTCGCTTTTAAAAGTTATTTCTGAACAATGTATGCACATACATACATATATAATCGTATTACCGGTACACTAATTTCTTTCTTTGTGATTTCAGTTAGAAAAACCAAGATGAGAGCAGAAGATCTACCACGTGTGCGCATCGCAGTAATTGGAAATGCGGATGTGGGAAAATCAGGTGCGTAATTCATAAGGCTTTTTTACATAGTTAATTATTTAAATACCGAAATGAATTCAGAGTTAAACAAAGGCAAAGATTCTGTAATCAGTCATACAGAACACTTGAACTTTAGAGTCAATGTCAAGAAATCGTCACAACTGCCGGTAAAGTATGAAAAGTTGGTATTAAATCCTTAATTTATAAATCGTAAACAACTCAAAATACCGTAAATAACTCTAGAGTAAATTCTTCATCTTTTTGCGTCATTCTAAAAATGCATTCGTCACCGAATTAAATTATACGAGTGAATTTTATAAGTTTACGGTTTTTATTGAAGGCATAGTAAAAATTTATATAACAAAGTATCTAAATACATTGTGGTTGTTCACATTTGTCTGGTTATCTGGTTATGTGGTTATATTTTTAATTCAGTTTACAACAATAAGATACACTACAGAAGAATAATTTTTAACCAGATAACCTGATAATCAGGCAAGTGTGATCGGAAAAATATTAAGATTTAAGTGAGCTGGACCGATTTGAAAATACCTCCAAAAATGGAGTTTTTTATGAATAAAAATAGTTTCTTAAAGATTTTTTTTGAAAAAATCCCCTCAAATGACAAAACGGTTTAAGCTTAAAATATTTGCATAAAAATATTTAAAAAAAATTTTTGATGCTGTTTTTTAACTTTTTTTCAAAGATTGGTAGAGGAAAAACTTGAATAACTGAACCTAAACTCTTCCGATTTAGGCTTAAGAGGTGTCATTGGAAAGGTATTTTCTCACCCTTTCTTTGCTAATAAACTCATTCAAAGGATGGAAGAGAAAGGTAGGATGAACGAACGTCATTCAAAGTTGAATTAAGATGTGTTGGTATTCGAAAAAAACAAGATGGGACACGAATGAGGTTTTTTGGGCCAGAAATAAAAACAGTATGAAAATACCTTTCTACTGAGATCCCATAATTCTAATTCAGAATAGTTTTGGCCCAAATATTCAAGTTTTTACTAAAACAATTTTTGAGAAAAGTAAAAAAACAGCATCAAAAATCTCATTCTTACGATTCCGTTGAAAATATTTTTAAATATTTTTATGCAGATCTTTTAAGCTTAATCTAATTTGTCATCTGAGGGGATCTTTTTCAAAAAGTTCTTTAGAGGTATTTTTAAATCGGTCCAGCTCGCTTAAATCTTAATATTTTTCCGAAATATTTTGGTGGACGTCTTAAAATATAATAAATTTTGTAATCCCGGCGGAAAAACCGCAACTTTTTTTGGTGATGCAGTCTAATGTACATACATATGTACATATGTACCCTGCACCAAATCAAACTGGTTCCGAACTTGCGCTGAGCTAGCCTGAAAAGGGACAGTACTGGTTCTTCGTCTATCCCAACTCAATGCTTTCAACTGTCTTTTTTAACATGGCGATGTCCTACGAAGTGGCAATTGTCGCCCTCTGCAGAACTTTTGAACTTGTTCTGAGCTGACTTTGGCTTAGATGGTTCTAAGACAGTTCATATAACAACAGTTCCTAGATAGTTCAAAAAGGGTCATCTCCGGGCTAGAACAAATGTGGTTAGTTTTGAGCAGGTTCTAAGAAGTACAGTATAGAGCCTTTTCTTTAAATACTGTTAATAAGCACGCATAAAATTTTGTAAATAAAAAATTCTTCGTTTCATGATTATTGAGCTATTTGTTTTGAACTAACTTACTTTTTGAGGCAAACTGCGCTTCAGTTATTCCTTCATTTTCTAAAACCGTTATTCTTAAAAATAATTTATATTTGTTACGTATAAAGGGTTTTTCTGTGCTTCCTATAATTAAAAGTCTAAACCAAGTCGTGTGATAAAATGAGAAAAACGGTGATATATTGAATGCTTATTTGTGATAATTCAGCGTTAAATTGTATTAAATTTATTGAAATGTAATACATATACTGTCCGGCATCTAATAAGAATACATAGAATTTTGAATATTTACAATGGTTTTCATGCTGAATATTTTTCGTAATCTTTTTTTAAATATTTTTCGTAAATTTTTTTATTCAAGGATGGCTCATAAGTATTATAACATAAACATATAAATTCACGTTTCTAACTGGGTTGGAAATTTAGTAGAATTCGGGAAGCTGTTAAAAAACGTCAACATTTTCAAACCGGAGTGGTAAGTATGCATTCCTATAGCCCACGCTTTTGAAGGTATTCTCCTATTTAAATATTTTCGTTCAAGATGCAAGGTTACTCTTTACTACACTAAAATTTGATGGGCTACAAAACTGAATACCTGAAATATCTATAAAAAAAAAACTCTGATTAAAAAGTTGAAATTTGAAGACAGCTTTAGAGTTCTATCAAGTTTGCAGCACTGTTAGGAATTTGAATTTAAATTGTTCATGGAATATGAGACATACTTCACGAAAAATATTTAAAATGCAAAACATTGGAAATTACAAAAAAAAATCATTGCATAACTACGCACTTTTGTTTATCTTTTTTTTAAATCTGATTAAAAAGTCGAAAATTTTGATGACAAATCGTTAAATTTTCCTTTGTTTTGCATAAAGCTTGAAAACACGGTTTATATGATTTTGTTTTAAGCATGATCAATTTTTTTTATAAAATAATAACAAACAAATTTTAACTCTCAATATTTTGTGAATATTTAAAAAATAAATGGCGTACGCAGACTTTTGCTGTTAAGTGTAACTTAACCAAATTTTATGGTTATATTTTGCTATTAGTTTTAGGGTCTAAAAAAATCGAAAGAATATAGTATAGTACATTTGTGCATCTTTTGTCAGCTTTCGCATGACCAGCATAACATTGATGACAGCGCAACTAGCAACATATGAGTTTCAACCGTCCAGCTCTGCATCCCTTTTGCAGTAGTTCAGAGACAGTTCTGAAATTTGTAGGGCGGAACTAGCGCTTTACCAGACTGTTTTGCCGCAGGGTATATAGACATGAAAATTAACCCTAAATTGAAATTCCTCGCGTTAAGTGTCAACGAACTTGCCCAAAAACCTTGTTTTCGAATAATTTGATGAAATCAAAGCGGATGAAAATACTTAAACATCTCAATCAATCCTATTGCAAATTGTTAATGTCGAATCGTATACATACTTATGTATGTATATGCATTTAACAATAAAAAGCAGCGGACAGTAAAAAGCAGCCAAACACTTTTCAATATCGAGTGCGCAGATCTAAACATTTATTTTAAAAGACTTGCCAATCGCTACGTCTTTATCCTTGACTTCGCGCATTAACGGTCAAAAAAATATTTAAGTTTGTATGCAAATACTGGTACACAATCCCAGCAACCATTTGGGGTTATAAATTAGTCTTTAAGGAGTCCCATTTCGGAGCCTTTATGCTCATAATGAGCTCATTTCAAAATCCGAAAAGAGGGTGTTTCCCTTCCTGCAAAGGTCTACTTACATGAGCTTAAATTCATACATCAAATGAGCCTCATATTGAACTCTTATTGGCCTCATATACGGCTCATTTTGAACTCTTTTTGAGGCTCTTAACCGACTCTTATTGGCCTCATAATGCCTACTTTCGGAGTCTTATTTTTTGCTGTTCTGTGATTTTTATTGGCCTTATTATTCGACTCTTATTGAACTTACTTTAGAGCCATGTTTGCAAGGGCATTCATTTCAAATACTGTTCCATATATACATACCTCTGCGAATACATATATATATGTGTATTGCAACATTCATGTAATAGCAGCTGCTGCAGCTAAATTTTGTGTGTTTCCTAATTATTTTTCATATTTGTGTAAACAAGTTTAGATATACATAAATTTCGAGTCTTTATTGTTTTTATATTGAAACAAAGTGCTGGCTCATAACTTGGATCATATATGACTCCTAAAAGATTCATATAAAAGTAAAAAATATTTTTGTTTTTGAAACTCATATTTCTTACCTACCTAGGACTCCTTTCGGACTCATATATTCTGAACGCTCAGAATATGTTTGCGGGGTACCTACATGCATACAAATAATTTTTTTCAGCAACATCCCCCCCCCATCCATATTCTGAGCGCTCAGAGCATTTGAGTCCAAAATGAGGAGGAGGAGAAAAGCTTTAAAAACTAAAAATGTGTGACTCTTATATGAATCTTTTAGGAGTCATATATGATCCAAGTTATGAGCCAGCACTTTGTGCCAATATAAAAACAATAAAGGTTCGACATTTATATCTAAACTTGTTTATACAGAAATTGAAAATAATCAGAAAACAAAAAATTAACAAAATTTAAGTGCAGCTGTTGCTATTAAATGCGTGTTGGAATGTGTATATGCACGTAAGTACGTATGTTATTTGGAAGAAATTTTTGGTGAATGCCTTTGCAAATATAGTGCGTTCAATAAGACTCAAAGAGCAACCTAAGTTAAGAGTCCGAATGTAGTAATTTATGGGGCCGATAAGAGTCTGAAATGACTCATATATGAGGCCAAAAATTGTTTTAAAAAAAGTCCAATATGAGCCGTATATGAGGCTAATAAGAGTCCAATATGGCTCATTGAGGCTCATTTAATGTATGATTTTGAGCTCATATATGTCGGCCTTCCGTGGAAGGGAAACACCCTTATATCGGACTCTTAAATGAACTCATTATGAGCGTAAAGTCTCCGAAGTGGGACTCCTTAAAGACTAATTTATGACTCCAAATGTTTGCTGGGATTTTTCCCCAACTTACACACACTTAAGCCAATGTTAGAAGTGGCAACAAGTAGACTTTTTCTGTTTTCTGTGGAAAATATCTGTTTCAATATTACATTTAGTTATGGCATAGAAAATGACTGTGTGGCCATTGAAGGTAGTAGGTATTACCATTTTTCTTAGTATTGAAGTCATATAATAAGGTACAACAAGCTCAAAGCATCTTGCTGCCTGTAACCGCGGTCGCATATCTAACGTATGGGTAAATATTGCATGATTGCCTTGCCCGTGGATTCCTTTCCAATGCCTGATGGAATCAATGTCAATGATATTGTATA